TTTTAGACGGGGTCGGATTCAGCTCCACACAAGGTGAACCGCAAAATGTTTAGGAAACATTTTTGTAAATTTTAGTAAACATTTTTTGGTTGGTCAGTAGATTATTGTGGTTTTAATAACCATCTAGAGGTTGATAGATCTTAAGACCAACACCCAACCAACCATCTCTCGTCCATATGCCTGTCTCATAAACAAAGACCCAAAAGTCCATTCCATCCATCCACCAAACCCCTGTTTATGAATATAAAACGGTTTACACACGACTCACAACTGATGACGTCCGAACACTTCCGGAACAAGTGCTTCACTGACGACTGGTGTTCGAACCACAACGCTGTAAATGCTTCACCCACGTACTACAAATACAAATAATCGCCAACAGAACCTAAACACCCAACCTAACCTATGTCTATATATGCACAATATGCTAATATATAACTGTATTAATTTATATTTGAGAAAATTCCTGTTTTGAATTAACAGCATGTTAACACTGTTGAATGCGCCTTTGGGGGTCGACCGCTGGATGGAATGAACTTGGTCTGAAGATGGGTTGCTGTTCGTATCCCACCTCTCTGTAAATGCATCACCCACGTACTACAAATATAAATAATTGCAAACAGAACATAAACACCTAAGCTAACCGAATTCAGGCCTATCTATCAAATTCTAATAATATAATCATGCTAATTTATATATGGGAAAGCACCGAGTTTGAATACACGTTACGATTAAAGAGAGAAATGCGCCTTTGGGGTCGGACGCTGGATGGATGAGCACAACCTGAGGACTGGTGGTGCAAAAGTTGTGATTATTGTAAGGAAGAGAAACAAATCGCTTGCGTCGAACTACTGCCCAGTTAGCTTGACGTTCGTGTTGTTAAAAATTATCATGAAACGACGGTCGATAAAGCAAGGCGTTTACATCTGGGAAAACATAGATTATACCAAAGTACTCACAACATGGCTTTTATAAGCGTGATAGTTAGCCGGACAGGAGCCGGATGTGTGAGAAGTGCCCCCAGGGTCCTGCCTTGGTACTTCTGTTTATCATATAGTAAGCCGGACAGGAGCCGGATGTGTGAGTAGTGCCCCGGGGTCCTGCCTTGGTACTTCTGTTGTTTATCATACCCTTAAACGGTTTAGACGCAGGAATGAGCACCAACATTTGTAAATAAGCAGACGATCTACAATTTGAGTGAGAAATAGGTTCGAAACAGGAATGTGTTTGGATGGGTGGCCCATACGAGCGGCCTGTTATAGGCCAGTAGGCCGTCTATTGCTTCTTGTATTCCATTGTCTTATGATTCACTGCTTAAATGACGTGGCTGTTTGAGAGCAGCTTGACAAACACTTTGTGAAAGGTTAAATGTACTGTATCTTGCCCCCAGGTGCCACAGGTGCCAACAGGTGCCACAGGTGACACTTCTCTTAGGTTAGAATGTCAATATTCGACAACTGTTGTTAACCTACTTCTTCAGAAACTGCTGATTTTCTTGACACAGTTTAACATTTCTGATAATGACTCGAGTATTTAACATCTTAGAATTTGTATTTCTTCAGGACGTAAAATCATTTACTGCATATATAAATGTTCCAATTAATTTGTATTTAGTTCTTTCTTTAATAGTTTACTTAATACTTTTAAGTCCTTACTAACACCTCACGCTAATGGGGTGTTCATAAAATTTAATATAGGTATCTAATGACAGGTTCAAGACAATATTCTACCTTAGGATTTAACCTACAAGCCTACACTAACCCACAAGCCTACCCTAACCTACTGTCATACACTAATCTACAAGCATACACTAACCTACAAGCGTTAAGGTCAATTTCCAGCACACAAACACCTGAAAACCACCCTTGGTGCAAGATGATGGATCAAGGGATGGATATACAGATTGATAGGTGGATAATTAGATATATATGGATTGCTGGACAGATAGATGTTAGGATAGATATAGGTCTTAATAGTTATCCATAAGTTGATAGACCTTAACTCTCCAGAGGATGAGAAGTCTTAATAACCCTCCAGAGGTTGATAGACCTTAACTCTCCAGAGGATGAGAAGTCTTAATAACCCTCCAGAGGTTGATAGACCTTAATAACCCTCCAAAGGCTGATAGGTCTCAAACCTCTCCAGAGGTTGATAGATCTTAATAACCCTCCAGAAGTTGATAGACCTTAATAACCCTCCAGAGGTTGATAGACCTTAAGAACCCTCCAGAGATTGATAGACCTTAATAACCCTCCAGAGGTTGATAGACCTTAATAACCCTCCAGTGGCTGATAGACCTTAATAACCCTCCAGTGGCTGATAGACCTTAATAACCCTCCAGTGGTTGATAGACCTTAATAACCCTCCAGTGGCTGATAGACCTTAATAACCCTCCAGTGGCTGATAGACCTTAATAACCCTCCAGTGGCTGATAGACCTTAATAACCCTCCAGTGGTTGATAGACCTTAATAACCCTCAAGAGGTTGATAGACCTTAATAACCCTCCAGTGGCTGATAGACCTTAATAACCCTCCAGTGGCTGATAGACCTTAATAACCCTCCAGAGGCTGATAGACCTTAATAACCCTCCAGAGGCTGATAGACCTTAATAACCCTCCAGAGGCTGATAGACCTTAATAACCCTCCAGAGGCTGATAGACCTTAACCCCAACACCAACCCAAAAAATAACCAGGTTACCTCATCCTGCCACGAAGAAAAAAATAAAGAAACCATCGCGTCTTAGCGTGGAAAAAGTTATATTGCAAAACTATTGTAGATTCTTTAATTTGGAGCGAAGGTGGCATTGCATGTCTTGGATGACAGTGTTGTTTACCGGGGAATGTCACGGGTCGTCTTTGTGTCATAAGGAAACCGGTTATTAGATTAAGTTTGCGTGGTCGAGGTTCGAGGGGCAGATCTTGTAATTAGACAGGGCGAGGTAATTAGTAGTAGCTGGCATCTATCAGTCATAGGGGAGTATGGAGTTGTGCTCTGGTTGTCGGTCTGGAGTGGCCTCTCCAGGGCGCTAAGCCTGGGTAGGTTGATATGGAGGAGAAGCTGTTACCCATGCAGCAGGTCCCTCCCCCCTCTCCACGGTAATTATTAGGAAAAAGATCACTAAGTCAATATTGATTAAATAGGATTTGGAAGGGATATGAGGACGAGGATTTTAGATAGGATAGAGGAAAGGAATGGTGCTGAACCTCTTGGATCTTGAAGTTATCTTGAGATGATTTCGGAGCTTAGTGTCCCCGCTGCCCGGTACCCGATCAGGCCTCCACCCACCAGGAAGCAGCCCTTGACAGCTGACTAACTCCCAGGTACCTATTTACTGCTAGCTAACAGTAATCAGGGTGAAAGAAACTGCCCATTGTTTCTCGCCGCCGCCCGGGATGGAACCCGGGACCACAGGATCACGCAACCAGTGTTCTGCCCACTCAGCCACCGGCTCCCATCACTGGATCATCGGGGATCGAACGCCGATCTGCTTGAAATAAGGCGATCGCTTTACCAACGAGCTCAATCAAGGAGGGGACAAGATGGTGTCTTGGGAATCCGTCTTCGAGTAACGGGATGGGTAACGAACCCAGCTGAACCATGTCAGAAATCATAGAAAAGTTACCATAATATTAGATTTTTAGCTTAATATATATGTTAAGAAACCCAAGCAGGAAGACATCTATCATCATTATTACTTACAAATATATAAAACATTTTACTTTTCTAGATTACTTAAGATGTAAAGTATAAAATTACTTTACAAATATACTGGGAACAATAATTTTGTTATATTATTAATAAATTTAATAAATAATGGTAATGTCTTCTCTTAGACATAATAACATGGTATAAAACCCCACAACTTTGTATTTGTATTTATGTAAATAATTTACACCAAGTCTTTTGGACTCTCCTGAGTGGTTGATCAAAGTCTGAGTGTGTGGTTAAGACGAGACTTACATCTCAACGTCTAATCACACACTCAGACCTTGATAAAGCACTCAGGAGAGTGCAAAAGACTTATTGTAAAATACATAAAGTTCACAAATAAAAAATAAATGTAATAATAATACTAATAACTATTGAACAAATTCTGTGTGTAATAATAACTATTATTATAAATTAATAATTAATGTTTTAATTATTTTTTTAACTCAATCTTAGTTATTTAGTTTAGTTTTTCAGTTAATGTATATTTATATCTCTTGAGGCCTGGATATGTTTCAGGTCTATTAAAACCATTTTTTATTTATTATTTGTAAGAAGTGAATGTATTGGACACATTTAGTCTATAATTTTCTTATTTTGGATAATACGAGCTTCGAATTTTCCCCTGGAAGCATCTGTCTAGTAGTTATGGTCTGATGTCTATCTGGTAGTGGTAGACTACTGTCTATCTGGTAAGGTTGTCTTTCTCCAAGAAATATGTCATTGGTGTTCGACTCAGGGTGTTGAGTTATACATAAAATCATTTTAATTTCGACGGGAAAATAAGTGAACTATCAGGGGGAAAGCGCCAAGCCATTACGACTATATAGCACTTGGAAGGGGTCAGGATAAGGATTTGTGATGGGACGGGGAGGGGAAAGGAATGGTGTCCAACCATTTGGACGATCGGGGATTGAACGCCGACTTGCATGAAGCCAGTTATGTTTACTTAGCTCCGGAAAGTTACGAAATTCGTAGCGGTTTGACGTTCATAGACCTTCGTAGATACAACATCGTTATGATCTAGATAAGAGGTGTTGACCTCGTAAGTGGGTCGTGAATCCTGGTAGCTTATTTTAAGTTTGGCTCCCATGATCTTGGCCCAAGTGAGTAATTGGAATGATACAATCCAATCAATCCTCTATATTAGAGTACCATTAAACGTATCTCAGAGATTCTGCCTGTACAGGAGCGTAGCGTTGTTATACATGGAGGAAATAATGAACAATGAACGATTTGTACATTTAATAGGTATATACAATCTAGTTACTTAATATTATTAACTACATATTATGCATATGTGGGTTGAGTCCGGTGTTCTGTTGACGCTGTGGGTCTGTACTCCTGGCTAGAGTCCTCATCGTAGCTAGGAGAGGACTCGTAGCTAGGAGAGGGCTCGTAGTTAGGAGAAGGCTCGTAGCTGAGGGAGGGATCGTAGCTAGGGGGAGGTGTAGGGTGGTAGATCCTAGATGGCGCAGGCTTGTAAACTGTTCTTTGAGCACTCTTGTAGCTCGGGTTTGGAACCGATTCGTAGGATTGATTAGGAACTGGTTCATAGGATGCACTAGGGGCAGGCTCGTAGGCTTGACTAGGAATTGGCCCGTAGGTTGGACTAAGGGCTGGGGCGTTGCTGGGAGTGAAGGCTGGCCTTCGTCTGGGAGTTGGAGAAGTTTGGTAAGCTGGAATGGTGACAGGGTTGTAGGTAGGACTCTGCGCTCGCTCGTAAATTGGAGTGGGAGAAGGTTGGTACCCATTCCTAGAGGCAGACTGGCGTCTAGAGGCTACTGTAGGTTCGTATTCTGAACTAGAAATAGGCTCATAGGTTGAACTAGGTGTATCCTCGTAGCTGGGAGCTGGGAGAGGCTTGTAGCTGGGTGCTGGAGTAGGTTGGTAGCTAGTGGCAGGCGTAGGTTGATAGCTAGGGGCTGGAGTTTGTTTGTAGCTGATGGCAGGCGTAGGTTGATAGCTGGGGGCTGGAGTTTCCTTGTAATTGGGGATAGGGGTTGATAGGTATCTTTGCTTAGATTCTGGAGCGCGTCTAGGTTCCGGATCAGGATGGTAGGCTGATTTATCTGACTCCCGAGAGTACTGAAGATCCGGATATGTTGCCTCGCCCTCGTAGGAGACCTCGGCTACGAAGCCCGAATCACCGTTGACGTAGTAGGTCACCTTCTGGACGCGTCCATCCGGAAGGGGGACGTAGTAGGAGCCCTGAGTATTGTAGCCTTCTCGGGTCTCCTGGTGGCCGTGGTTCTTTCCGGTTTGAAGGTCCTGAGCGTCGTACTGGAAGTTGTACTGCGTGGGATGCTGAGGGAGATACAAGGCTATTAACATGCGTTTCAGTGTTGAAAAAAACACACACACTTGAAAGGTGAAGGGACGACGACGTTTCGGTCCGTCCTGGACCATTCTCAAATCGATTCTCAACGTCGTCGTCCCTTCACTTTCTAAGTGTGTGGTTTGGTCAATATATTTCAGCCATGTTATTGTGACTCCTCGCCCGCATGCGTTTCAATACTTAATTGACTAAATGTTTCACAGAAATGGGGCAGAAAGCACTTAAGTATAAGTGTCCCGCCACAGCACTCAAACAAGTGACGAAGAGTGAAGTGTGACATGACTGAAGTGTAAACAGAAGATAGGCATAACAAAAGGGATATAAAGAAGGTTAAAAATAAGTGAACACAATATAGAAGAAACACTGACTACACAATGGAGAAAGATAAAGAAAGGACCTGGATAAATACTGGGTTGGAAATAGGGTTGTTGATTTATGGAACAGATTACCAGGTAACATAATGGAAGTGGGGGTCTCTGGATTGTTTCAAGCGTAGGTTAAAAATATATGAGTTTGGGTGGATGTAAATAGGAACTGCCACGTATATGGGCCAATAGGCCTTCTACAGTTTCCTTAATTTCTATGTTCTAACGTTAAGCCTACATAGCCTCAGTTTGTAACTAGAAGTCCTTAGTCCTCCCTGATAAGTAATTTATTTTTGTATTTATCAGGGGAAAGGGGTAAGCCATTACGACTATATAGCACTTGGAAGGGGTGAGGACAAGGCTTTGGGATGAGACAGGGGAAGAAATGGTGCCCAACCACTTATGGACGGTCGGGGATTGAACGCCGACCTGCATGAGGCCAGACCGTCACTCTACCGTCCACCCCAAGTGTCTGGGTTCCTCTCTGACAAGCTCTTCCCTCTCACCAATCCGGCCTCTCAACCAGTACATCTCATTTTATACGCTATAGTTCCTAACATACAAATTACACACTACTATGAACTCTAACAACTCACAAATATCCACCTTTTTTCTTTGTATCGGCAGGTTAGGTTAGGTAGGTGGCTCGGGTTCGTACGGTGCTGGTTATGTTAGCACTTTGTATTATGTACGTTGTGGCAAATGAAGAGGCTGGCGTGATTCTGTGCACAGAAGAACCAGTAAAGAGATTCAAGTACACAGAAACTCTATTTGAACATTATTTCTCATTATTGGACTCTTTGTTCATAATATGTAGTAGATTATTGCTGTAATGGGGTCAATATGTAGTAGATTATTGCTGTAATGGGGTCAATATGTAGTAGATTATTGCTGTAATGGGGTCAATATGTAGTAGATTATTGCTGTAATGGGGTCAATATGTAGTAGATTATTGCTGTAATGGGGTCAATATGTAGTAGATTATTGCTGTAATGGGGTCAATATGTAGTAGATTATTGCTGTAATGGGGGTCAATATGTAGTAGATTATTGCTGTAATGGGGTCAGTATGTAGTAGATTATTGCTGTAATGGGGTCAATATGTAGTAGATCATTGCTGTAATGGGGTCAGTATAATATGTGGTAGATCATTGCTGTAATGGGGTCAATATGTAGTAGATCATTGCTGTAATGGGGTCAGTATAATATGTGGTAGATTATTGCTGTAATGGGGTCAGTATAATATGTAGTAGATCATTGCTGTAATGGGGTCAGTATAATATGTGGTAGATTATTGCTGTAATGGGGTCAGTATAATATGTGGTAGATCATTGCTGTAATGGGGTCAATATGTAGTAGATCATTGCTGTAATGGGGTCAGTATAATATGTGGTAGATCATTGTTATAATGGGGTCAGTATAATATGTAGTAGATCATTGCTATAATGGGGTCAGTATAATATGTGGTAGATCGTTGCTATAATGGGGTCAGTGTAGGTGGTGGTTTTACAAAGCTTTTCCTCAAAAAGTGACACAAATTCGAACGCTTTTGCATCTCTTCCTCTTGGTCTCCTCGTCACCCGTCAAACCAAGCGTTCGGATATCACAGCTGATTGAATTCCTCAAGCACTTAAGCGCCCACTTGCGAAACCTGTATATCTTTCCTGGTGGCATATTCTGTATATATTAAGCAGTTTATGAGCCCCGAAGCACTAATAGGTTGTTTATAACAATAATTACCTTGGGTTGTGAAGTTTCCAAGATCGTAAACTGTTTAATAAATACATACTATGATTATGAAAAGATGTACAGGTTTCGTAACTGTGCACATAAATGCTTGACGAATCCTGGCCGGGGTCTTCATTTAGACCTAGTGATTCCCAAATAGGCTTCCGCGAGAATTCACCAATCCAGTGGCGTTCAAGAAAGCAATCCCAAGTCTCTCATTAAATCGGAAGACAGAATCAATATCATTCTTTTGATACTTCTTATATTTTATGTTGTGAATCTGTCTTGTAAGAGAGAATGTTTGTTTGGTTGGATGCCAGACGCTTGGGGGTAGTTTCACTCAACTTTGCAGGAAGAATGGTCTGGGGTGAGGGACTGACAAGGGTTAAATACATACCCTTTTTTTTAAGCGAAAAATGTATAATGTATCACGTATTTTCAAACTGGGATCCAGTTCATTCACCTGGACTGTCCTCTAGTTTACATATATCTTCAAAGTGATCTCCAGTCTACAAGTTTACATCTGATTTCAATGTGGTACCCACTCTAATGGTTTACATCTGTTGATTATTACCAATACTGAACGTGATATATACTCTCAGTAGTTTACCTAAGGTAAGGTAAACATGTGGAGCAAGCGCTAAGCCAGTATGACTACATAGCACTTAGAAGGATTATGAAAATATGCTGGGATGTGAGGACAAGGATCTGGGATATGAGGGTAAGGATCTGGGATTTGAGAACAAGGAGCTTGTAAATTGGGACAAGGATCTGGAATATAAGGAAAAAGAGCTGTAATATGAGGACAAAACCGTAACGTCAGTAAACGAGATTGAAATGAACTGTTGGGTTCAGTAGCTGAACCCATTATGTGCCTCTGTAACCCTTTCTACTACCACCCACGGGATGGGTATGGAGTCTACCACTGCCCACGGGATGGGTATAGGGTCTACCACTGCCCACGGGATGGGTATGGGGGTCCACCACCGCCCACGGGATGGGTATGGGGTCCACTACTGCCCACGGGATGGGTATGGGGGTCCACCACCGCCCACGGGATGGGTATGGGGTCCACTACTGCCCACGGGATGGGTATGGGGGTCCACCACCACCCACAGGATGGGTACGGGGTTCACTACTGCCCACAGGATGGGTATGGGGTTCACTACTGCCCACAGGATGGGTATGGGGTCCACTACTGCCCACTAGATGGGCATGGGGGTCCACCACCGCCCACGGGATGGGTATGGGGATCCACCACCGTCCACGGGATGGGTATGGGGGTCCACCACCGTCCACGGGATGGGTATGGGGTTTACCACCACCCACAGGATGGGTACGGGGTTCACTACTGCCCACAGGATGGGTATGGGGTTCACTACTGCCCACCTGCCCACAGGATGGGTATGGGGTCCACTACTGCCCACTAGATGGGCATGGGGTCCACCACCGCCCACGGGATGGGTATGGGGATCCACCACCGTCCACGGGATGGGTATGGGGGTCCACCACCGTCCACGGGATGGGTATGGGGTCCACTACTGCCCACGGGATGGGTATAGGGTCTACCACTGCCCACGGGATGGGTATGGGGGTCTACTACCGTCCACGGGATGGGTATGGGGATCCACCACCGTCCACGGGATGGGTATGGGGGTCCACCACCGCCCACGGGATAGGTATGGGGGGTCCACTACTGCCCACGGGATGGGCATGGGGATCCACCAACGCCCACGAAAAGGGTATTGTGTGCATAAAAGCTATTAAACCAACTAGCTGTACCGACCTCTCAAATTTGTTTGCGGATTTCCTAAATATTTATATATGTCGTTCATCCTGACTTCTCTTTAAAAGGGAGGACGGGATAACTTTGACTTAATTTAGCACTAGAGAGACAATTTAAACATGCATTTTGCTGTCTTACCTTTGATGTGTCGTCTTGGAGAGAGTTTTCATGGTATGTTGAGTCGCCTAAGGACTTGGCTCGTCCCCTGGATCTTTGCTTAGCAGCAGAAGGATAAGAGTCGCCGTAGTCGGGAACTAGTCTCTCAGGGCTGCTGTACTTTGGAGTACTCTGACTCCTGTATCTGGAGGAAGTCAAGTCAGGCCTGTTGTATGTTGCAACAGTTGAGGCTTTGTACTCTGGGCCGTCAGGACTGTTGTGTCTAGTATCAGGGATATTACTGTAAGCAGGTGCTTGAGACTCCGCGTCGCTGAAGTCAAGACTCAGGGCTTCAGGGACATCGTAAGTAGCAGCTGAAGTACCCAGACCTGCGGCTGTGTGGGCGTTGTACCCTGGGGCATGTACGGAGCTGCCACGCCCTTGCGCGGCGTAGTTTGATGTGAGGTTCACAGACAGCTTCTCAGGGCCGCCTCTGACGCCCACCAACACACCCACAAGCATCAGTATCTACCCAGAAGTGGAAAGGTTTATATTTACATAAAGAAAAAAAATACAAAATAGGGAAACTGGAATACCACATTAAATTAAATTTACCAATTACACAAGCACCCACACACACACACACACACATACACCCACACATACAAGGGGCGCTGGTGGGTGAGTGGACAGCACGCTGGATACGTAGTCCTGTGGTCCGGGGTTCAATTCCCGGCGCCGGCGGAAACAGATGGGCAGAGTTTCTTTCACTCTGATGCTCCTGTTACCTAGCAGTAAATAGGTACCTGGGAGTTAGACAGTTATTACGGGCTGCTTCCTCTGTGTGTGTGTGTGTGTGTGTGTGTGTGTGTGTGTGTGTGTGTGTGTGTGTGTGTGTGTGTGTGTGTGTGTGTGGAAAAAAAAGTTAGTAGTAACAGTTAGTTGATTGACAGTTGAGAGGCGGGCCGAAAGAGCAGAACTCAACCCCCCCCCAAGCACAACTAGGTGAGTACACACACACACCACACACACACACACACACACACACACACACACACACACACACACACACACACACACACACACACACACACACACACACACACACACACACACACATTTGATTGGCTCCAGTTGATTGGCAATTGAGAGGCGCGACCAAAGAGCCAAAACTCAACCCCCCCGCAGACACAACTAGACAAGCACATCAACCACGGAGCGAAGCGTGTTACACAACATCCAAACAGCCGAAGCAGTAACCAAAATAGCCAATCTAAGCTACAAAGCGAACCAGTCCGTGAGGACACCCTCACCTGGAGAGTCATAGCGGAGGAATGAGACCTCGGCCCCATGCGCCGGCCCTTATATACCCTCGACCCCGCCCGCCTCCTCGAAGCCAAGCGGGAAAGGCGTTCGAGGCTTCAGCGAAAAGCTTCGGAAATGCTAGCCGCAGGTGAAGCTCTGAAGAAGTGGATGATAGTGAGTTGGAAAGTAATTTCGCGTTCATGAACTGGTTTAAAATGGCAACAGTGGTTGGCGGTCGAGTTGTAGTGTGAAAATGTATTTTCAGGCACATGGAAGCTGTAACTAGTTTATTTTCGGTGTAAACTGTTTACCTTCAAGACCTTTGGGGTTTTGTACGTGACCCTATTATACGTGACTGTATTCTTTCGCTACAGCCCACAGGATGGGTATGGGGTCCACTACTGCCCACAGCATGGGTATGGGGTCCACTACCGTTCACAGGATGGGTATGGGGCCCACTACCACCCACAGGATGGGTATGGGGTCCACTACTGCCCACAGCATGGGTATGGGGTCCACTACCGTCCACACGATGGGTATGGAGTTCACTACCGTTCACAGGATGGGTATGGGGTCCACTACCGTCCACAGGATGGGTATGGGGTCCATTACCGCCCACAGGATGGGTATGGGGTCCACTACCGTCCACAGGATGGGTATGGGGTCCATTACCGCCCACAGGATGGGTATGGGGTCCACTACCGTCCACAGGATGGGTATGGGGTCCATTACCGCCCACAGGATGGGTATGGGGTCCACTACCACCCACAGGCTGGGTATGCGGACCACTACCACCCACAGGATGGGAATGGGGTACACTACCACTCACAGGATGGGTATGGGGTCCACTACCACCCACAGGATGAGTATTGGGCCCACTACCACCCACAGGATGGGTATGGGGTCCACTACCACCCACAGGATGGGTATGGGGCCCACTACCACCCACAGGATGGGTATGGGGTCCACTACCACCCACAGGATGGGTATGGGGTCCACTACCACCCACAGGATGGGTATGGGGTCCACTACCACCCACAGGATGGGTATGAGGTCCACTACCACCCACAGGATGGGTATGGGGTCCACTACCACCCACCCACAGGATGGGTATGGGGTCCACTACCGCCCGCAGGATGGGTATGGGGACCACTACTACCCATAGGAAGGGTATGGGGTCCACCACCATCCACAGGATGGGTATGGGGTCGACTACTGCCCACGGGATGGGTATGGGGCCCAAGTAGGTGAGTACACCTAGGTGAATACACCTAAATGAGTACACCAGGTGAGTACACGCACCAAAATAACCTAGAGAGCTCATAATGAACATGGCCATGACCGTAGTGCGCGTGTGAGAGCGCGCGTGTCCGCAAGGCAAGAGCACCCTGGTTGAGGACGAGTCCTCAGCATTTTCCAGTGTTTATATCTGGACCCCCTGGCACCCAGGACACGTTATCCTGCTCCCTGGGCATGTTATCCAGCTCCCTGGGCACGTTATCCAGCTTCTTGGGCACGTTATCCGGCTCCTTGGGCACGTTATCCAGCTCCCTGGGCACCTTATCTAGCTCCCTGGGCACGTTATCCAGCTCCCTGGGCACGTTATCCAGCTCTCTGGGTACGTTATCCTGCTCCCTGGGCATGATCAGCAGGTCTCTGGGTACGTTCACCACCTTTCTAAGGGTTCCTGAGCCACACAAGGTGTTGAGTAAAGGGTTCCTGAGCCACAGAAGGTGTTGATTAAAGGGTTCCTGAGCCACACAAGGTGTTGAGTAAAGGGTTTCTGAGCTACACAAGGTGTTGACTAAATGGTTCCTGAGCCACTCAAGGTGTTGATTAAATGGTTCCTGAGCCACACAAGGTGTTGATTAAAGGGTTCCTGAGCCGCACAAGGTGTTGATTAAAGGCTTCCTGAGCCACACAAGGTGTTGATTAAAGGGTTCCTGAGCCACACAAGGTGTTGACTAAATGGTTCCTGAGCCACACAAGGTGTTGATTAAAGGGTTCTTGAGCCACACAAGGTGTTGATTAAAGGGTTCCTGAGCCACACAAGGTGTTGAGTAAAGGGTTCCTGAGCCACACAAGGTGTTGAGTAAAGGGTTCCTGAGCCACACAAGGTGTTGAGTAAATGGTTCCTGAGCCACACAAGGTGTTGAGTAAAGGGTTCCTGAGCCACACAAGGTGTTGAGTAAATGGTTCCTGAGCCACACAAGGTGTTGAGTAAAGGGTTCCTGAGCTACACAAGGTGTTGAGTAAAGGGTTCCTGAGCAACACAAGGTGTTGAGTAAAGGGTTCCTGAGCAACACAAGGTGTTGAGTAAAGGGTTCCTGAGCTACACAAGGTGTTGAGTAAAGGGTTCCTGAGCTACACAAGGTGTTGAGTAAAGGGTTCCTGAGCCACACAAGGTGATGAGTAAAGGGTTCCTGAGCTACACAAGGTGTTAACTAAATGGTTCCTGAGCTAAACAAGGTGTTGAGGTAAGATTTCCTGAGCCACACAAGATGTTATCATGCCATAATTTAACATATATTCAACACTTGTCAACAAATATATATTCTCTCTCAAAAAAAAATTATTCTCTAGTTTTCTGGAGTGAAAATCATCTCCAATGGGAACCTTACATCCATAGTCGGAGGTTATTGGGCTACTGCATCTTCTGTTTCACATAATAAACACCTTTTTGTACCAGTTACAGAGAGTGGTTCTATGACAATGAAGTAAATATTGCTAGCATAATCACTTATCTCTCAGTTTTGTGCCTATATTATCCTCTCTTTATTATTTTTGGGTGTGTAGGAGACTGTATGTGTGTGTATGTGCATGTTTGTGTCTTGCTGGATGTGTGTGTGTATGTGTACGTGTGTCTATTTGAGTTGTTGTTTGTGTGAGTATGTGTTGGACTAACCACCAGGCTTCAAACCACCTGTTACATGACTCCAAAGAATGTGAAATGCTCAACTGGCAATTTCGACATTTTTTCTCACCATTTCGGATATCAAAATCATGCATGTGATTGATGAGTTTTTCGTTTATTTAGGTACTTAAAATATATTATGGTGACTCAGTGTTAACAATAGCATGAATTGCAATAAGTAAAAATGAAAATAGTGAAATTGTGCATGAATGATAAATCAGCTGACTAGTGTAAACATAAACAAAGACACGTGTGCAGATAGCCATCTCGCGCACCTTGATACATCAGCTGATCAGTGTAAACATAAACAAAGACACGTGTGCAGATACCCATCTCGCGCACCCTGATACAACAGCTGATCAGTGTAAACATAAACAAAGACACGTGTGCAGATACCCATCTCGCGCACCCTGATACAACAGCTGATCAGTGTAAACATAAACAAAGACACGTGTGCAGATACCCATCTCGCGCACCCTGATACAACAGCTGATCAGTGTAAACATAAACAAAGACACGTGTTCATGCCCAGCATCTTCTCCTACCAGGAGGGATGCTGTCGAGAGCTGCTGCTGCTCCTTGGCGTTTGGCGACCTCCGTTTCCTCTTCTCCTTTTGTGTGTGTGTGTGTGTGTGTGTGTGTGTGTGTGTGTGTGTGTGTGTGTGTGTATCTCTCTCACTCTGACTCTCACGTTCTCCCGCATGAGAAACAATAAACAACTAACAGATATCATGGGAAGTGTGTGGAACAATTGTGCAGCTTTCAGCTGCTGCTCCTAGCGTGACTCAACAGGTGGTGGATGACAGTCTATACTGAGCCGCCGTCAACGGTTAGAGGGGAAGAGTGAAAGGTTGGGGAAGGGAGAGAGAGTGAATAGAGGGGGGAAATGAGAGTGAGTAAGAAGAGTGAGTGAGAAGGGAGGGAAGAATTTTCCTCATCTCCATATGCTTGTAGAGACTTGCTCGGCTCCTGTAAGACTTCATGTAAACGCGAATGTATCCAATTATATGTATGATTACAGAATGCATTTCTCAATCATTTATACTCATTTTGACTCATTAAATGAATGAAACACTGGCACGCCCCTACGACCTAAATAGGGGTCGTTAAATAGCCATTATCACATTGGTAAATAGCCACGTCGTTAACGTTATCAAACTCGACACAAATGCGTTAATTAGACGGTGACATAAGAGTGTTGAAGGCTTGTAGAGGTCAATAATATTATTTGTAATGGTGTAATGGCGACGCATTTGTAAGATTTTAGGGATTATTGGATATATATTTTTTTATGTTTTTTTGTTTTTCTGTTCTTCTCTCTTCTCTTTTTATCTTACTGTTTTTATTCGTTATTCTCACATGCTCATCATCCCTGTCTTTTGCTTGTTCTTAAGTTCTCTCTAGGTCTCTTTATCCTATCCTCCCACACTCTCCTTTCTTCTGTCTTTTCCACCCACCCTTTCTCTTTTCCTTCCTCTCTCTCCCTTCCTACCTCCTTCCATCCCACCCTGCGTCTGTACCACCCTCCTCCCCCCCCCCGTCTCCCATCTCAAACACCCCTCTAATCTCTGCCAATCAGAGAATTAAGATGTTTCAGCGCAGCGTGTCGACACTCTCGTCTTCTGAACCAGCCCGGTGGCGGCCTCCTTATTTTCTTAGGTAATCTCTCTCAACCTCTGAGGGCGCGGTGGTGGTGTGTGTGTCAACCTCTGAGGGCGCGGCGGTGGTGTGTGTGTGTGTCAACCTCTGAGGGCGCGGCGGTGGTGTGTGTGTGTCAACCACTGAGGGCGCGGCGGTGGTGGTGTGTGTGTGTCAACCTCTGAGGGCGCGGCGGTGGTGTGTGTGTGTGTCAACCTCTGAGGGCGCGGCGGTGGTGTGTGTGTGTCAACCTCTGAGGGCGCGGCGGTGGTGTGTGTGTGTCAACCTCTGAGGGCGCGGCGGTGGTGTGTGTGTGTGTGTCAACCTCTGAGGGCGCGGCGGTGGTGTGTGTGTGTCAACCTCTGAGGGCGCGGTGGTGGTGTGTGTGTCAACCTCTGAGGGCGCGGCGGTGGTGTGTGTGTGTGTCAACCTCTGAGGGCGCGGCGGTGGTGTGTGTGTGTGTCAACCTCTGAGGGCGCGGCGGCGGTGGTGTGTGTGTGTCAACCTCTGAGGGCGCGGCGGTGGTGGTGTGTGTGTGTCAACCTCTGAGGGCGCGGCGGTGGTGTGTGTGTCAACCTCTGAGGGCGCGGCGGTGGTGTGTGTGTCAACCTCTGAGGGCGCGGCGGTGGTGTGTGTGTGTGTCAACCTCTGAGGGCGCGGCGGTGGTGTGTGTGTGTCAACCTCTGAGGGCGCGGCGGTGGTGTGTGTGTCAACCTCTGAGGGCGCGGCGGTGGTGTGTGTGTCAACCTCTGAGGGCGCGGCGGTGGTGTGTGTGTGTGTCAACCTCTGAGGGCGCGGCGGTGGTGTGTGTGTGTGTCAACCTCTGAGGGCGCGGCGGTGGTGTGTGTGTGTCAACCTCTGAGGGCGCGGCGGTGGTGTGTGTGTGTGTCAACCTCTGAGGGCGCGGCGGTGGTGTGTGTGTGTCAACCTCTGAGGGCGCGGCGGTGGTGTGTGTGTGTGTCAACCTCTGAGGGCGCGGCGGTGGTGTGTGTGTGTGTCAACCTCTGAGGGCGCGGCGGTGGTGTGTGTGTGTCAACCTCTGAGGGCGCGGTGGTGTGTGTGTGTGTCAACCTCTGAGGGCGCGGCGGTGGTGTGTGTGTGTGTCAACCTCTGAGGGCGCGGCGGTGGTGTGTGTGTGTGTCAACCTCTGAGGGCGCGGCGGCGGTGGTGTGTGTGTGTCAACCTCTGAGGGCGCGGCGGTGGTGGTGTGTGTGTGTCAACCTCTGAGGGCGCGGCGGTGGTGTGTGTGTCAACCTCTGAGGGCGCGGCGGTGGTGTGTGTGTCAACCTCTGAGGGCGCGGCGGTGGTGGTGTGTGTGTGTCAACCTCTGAGGGCGCGGTGGTGGTGGTGTGTGTGTCAACCTCTGAGGGCGCGGCGGTGGTGGTGGTGTGTGTGTCAACCTCTGAGGGCGCGGCGGTGGTGTGTGTGTGTGTCAACCTCTGAGGGCGCGGCGGTGGTGGTGGTGTGTGTTTCAACCTCTGAGGGCGCGGCGGTGGTGGTGTGTGTGTGTCAACCTCTGAGGGCGCGGCGGTGGTGTGTGTGTGTGTCAACCTCTGAGGGCGCGGCGGTGGTGTGTGTGTGTGTCAACCTCTGAGGGCGCGGCGGTGGTGGTGTGTGTGTCAACCTCTGAGGGCGCGGCGGTGGTGGTGTGTGTGTGTGTCAACCTCTGAGGGCGCGGCGGTGGTGGTGTGTGTGTGTGTGTCAACCTCTGAGGGCGCGGCGGTGGTGGTGTGTGTGTCAACCTCTGAGGGCGCGGCGGTGGTGGTGTGTGTGTCAACCTCTGAGGGCGCGGCGGTGGTGTGTGTGTGTCAACCTCTGAGGGCGCGGCGGTGGTGTGTGTGTGTGTCAACCTCTGAGGGCGCGGCGGTGGTGTGTGTGTGTGTGTCAACCTCTGAGGGCGCGGCGGTGGTGGTGTGTGTGTCAACCTCTGAGGGCGCGGCGGTGGTGTGTGTGTGTGTCAACCTCTGAGGGCGCGGCGGTGGTGTGTGTGTGTGTCAACCTCTGAGGGCGCGGCGGTGGTGTGTGTGTGTGTCAACCTCTGAGGGCGCGGCGGCGGTGGTGTGTGTGTGTCAACCTCTGAGGGCGCGGCGG